TTTTTTTTACATGATATACATTTAATGTTATTCCTCACAACTTTCATTGTACATAGGGCGCACTATAAGTTTCCGGAACTGGCCACTTACATAAACAATATTTCTGTGGCTCTAGTGAGAAGGGATACAAGTAAAAAAAGCCAACTTTACAAGGAAACGCGTAAACACTGAACGCTTAATATCATATTAACTTTGAACTGTTTATCGCGTCCCTTTATAAAGTTGGCTTTTTTTACTTGTACCCCTTTTCACTAGAGCCGCAGATTTAAAAAGTAATTACAACATTTGAAAATGGAACTCTTTGGCTGTAGAATACAATTTGTTTCATCTGACTGTCGACGAATTTCGTGATGGTCGCCCGTCCACTGCTGTGAACAACAAAAACATCGATGCTGTGCGCCGTACGATCAAAACAGACAGGCATGTAAAGACATACCATGAGATTCGGGCTTCTTTAGGCATAAGCATGAGTCAAATACAATCAATACTACACAAACATTTGGGTGTGAAAAAGCTATGCTCTCGGTGAATCCCACAAAATTGGACTGAGGCTCAAAAAACGGATCGCGTTACTTGTTGCAATGCCATGCTTACCAGATTCAACGAAGAGGCGTCAAATTTGGTGTGGGACATAAAAACAGGTGATGAAACATGGATTTATAGTTACGATCCCAAAACAAAGCAGCAATCGAGGGTATGGGTCTTTCGAGATGAGCCGATTTTAAGCAAAGGTTTTAAGCGGATGATTGCTTCTTTTTTTAATAAAACTGCACAGGTGGCTACTGTTGCTTTGGAGAATCGTTGTACCCTGAATAGTTATTGGTATACGACCATTTGTTTGCCGGAAGTTATTGACAAACTCCGTAAAAATAACCGTAAACGCCGTATCATGTTGCACCACGACATTGCCAGTTCTCACACGGCCAGACAGACGAATGAATTTTTGAAGGTGAACAACGTTGACCTTTTAAGCCATCCCGCGTACAGTCCCGACCTGGCACCTTGTGACTTTTATTTAATACTATATATAATATTTCCAAAAATTAAGAACCAGTTACGCGGTCAACGATTTTCATCACCTGAATTGGCTGTCAGAGTATGAAAAATACGTTCCGAGATTGTCTCGGAGGAGTGGCATTAACGCTAACGGAGAATATTTTGAGAAACAATAAATTCGTTTCTGACCATTTATAGTATTTTTTTCTTATTCATTCCGGAAACTTACAATGCGCCCCACGTATAATTTGTATTTGGACCTACTGTTGCATGTCGCAGCATGGCAAATTAGCGATTTGTTGTTGCACGACAAGGCAACGCTCCAGTTCACATCGCTAGGATTGCAAAACAGGTCTTAAAAGACAGAACTCTCAGATGTCCTCCCATGCTACACTCCAAGACCTGGCTTCTAGTAACTATTCCCTTTCTTTTAAATAAAATCTTGTCTTCTAAATTTAAAATGTTGCCGTTATTTGTGTTATTTCGTTATAACTAATCTTGTATTGGCTTTGAAATCCAATACGGATGCCCACTACAGTTAATGTAATTTTTGCAATTTTTAATACGTTTTTAATGCGGCACTTGTGCAACACAAACGACTTGAAACAGTAGCAACATGTATGAAGCGGATACACCTAACGAACGCACTGTGTGTTTTTGCACGATTCCACAGCGGAAATTTTTACCTGGCTAATGAAAATCGTGAACAACCAGAGCTTAAGGTTATACATACATGTATTAGGTGATATGACGAGTAACCGAGCTATTGTCGATCCTTCGCAAACTACGCACGTAGTTTGATATAAAACGGTAAAATGAAATGATTAGAAAAATGGGTACCACACGAATTGCGCGTACGCGCAACGCAGTCTCCAGTCATCCACATAAACTATTACTTGTCAAAATGGATTATTCATGATAATCACAGTCGATCAACACAGTGGTTATATTACGGCGACATACCCAAAGAGTTGCCAAAAAAAGAAACAAACCATGAATATTGTTTTGTTGGTAACTTAATGGCGCACCAGGCGCCCGCTCCTGTTGCGCCATCATAACTTCGTCATTGTAATGTAATGCGGCCGATGATGGCAAGGTTCGCAGATAAACAACTATGGCTAATCATCTTATCTTCACCACTACTTCTACACGATAACATCGAGGACATACTACCGAACAAACCGCGTTCAATTTCAGATGTTGCAGATTCACCACTTCACACTGTTTTCCGCAATTTAGATAATTATCTACAAAGAAATAAAGATAAAAAGACAGAAGTGTATGTATAAGATAGGAGTATTTTGAATTAAACAATGTTATTTTTTAAACTTGTGGTTTGAATTCTTGTATAGGCAATTCATACTTTTTAACTCTTATTAGATGGGTAATGTAATTCGATATCTGACGAATAACCTTCTACTAAATTTATATAAGTAATATATATTCCATAATAATTTTCATTTCTTTTATGAGATTATATTAATTTTACTGCAGGGAAGTTAGGGTCGTAAAAGTTGTGTACGACTAGACGTGATATTATCAATCAATCTTGCAAATACTGTATCTCAAGAAACTGTCATATTTATCATGAAAGTTTTATCATTACCGTTTCTCCGACAACGTTTGTTTAAACCACGAAGGAAGGCACTAGCGATAAGACATTGGTTATCAGTTACGTAATTTACAAACCCACTTTGAAGTAACTAAGATGTAACTTACTAGTACTATTTGTGTGATTAGAATTTCTGGAGGGTACATCCACTGGTTCACTTGAAGTATGTACTCCTTGCGCGAATACGCTCATTGCCGTGGGTCTGAAAAAGATAAAAACTAATTTAGCGTAAACATCATACGGTGGAAGAATTTATAAATTTAGATTACGCTTATAGAATGATTGTAAATTGCGTATATTTGTTTTTCCAAAAAAACCAGCGTTTAAGGCCCGTTACAGGTTCCGAAGTCAGCTGTGACTATGGGACCTATCTTTACAGGTCCTTTGGGGCACGAAACGTTGGTTTGTTTGAAAAACCAAACATACGCGATTTAGATCTGAAGTAAATCTCATTTCCTATGTTTAACAATCGCAAAAACTTAAGAACTAGATTAGTTTTTGCCAGCCACTTCAGATGAAGATACATAGAATTACATAAATAATCGACATTGTTTTTGTGCTGTTTAAGTGTGGTAAGAAATCGGTTTAGTTAGATAGATCAACATCCCTTTTAAGCGACTTCAAAAAAGGAGGACGTTCTGGTTTTTTTTTATGTATGTTACGCAATTAGTTCAGCAGCAGTTCACAAATTTGAACCGATTGATCTTGATCAGTACAGAGTACCAAAAAACCGACCTCAAAAGTCATTCATCCCCTAGTTTGCCACTCTTAGAGGCGGAATATTTTCTTCAAATTTAAATCGGACCACTGCTGCCCTCTTTCCAACAAAAAGAATCATCTAAATCGGTTCACAAATTTTTATTATTTTCCGGAATTATCGCGTATCATACATACAAAAAAAAAACATATAGTCGAATTGGGACCTCCTCCTATTTTTTTACACAACAAAACAAAGCGTTAGTCGGCGCTGGCGAATTACTGCACTGCGAAACAGCTTTTGAGAATTGCATAATGTATAGGGTTGCTACACCTCGTAATACTTATACATATTAGTCCTATGCACACGGCGTATTTTGTACGCGTCGACGAAGCGCGTATACGTGACTAGACGCGCTGTAAACGCGCGTAAGCATCGCGTATTTTGATAAGAGATAGTTTTAATTTTAGTTAATTTTTGAAATGAAGCAAGTACATGAAATTCTATATAAGCTTCTTGCTAGCAACGCGATATTTGCGTGCATTTGAATCGATTCACTACAGCGCGTCTGCGGCGCGTATACACGCAGATGACGCACGTATACAAACGTATACAAAAACTAGAATGTACAGGTATTGAACAAAACTTGTTGGAATGTTTTGAAAACTAACGAATGACTAATTTTTGCACTTTATTTCTTCTATTTACTTTTTCTGTAGCCCTCGGAAGAAAGAAAGGCATAAGCATCAATTTCAAAATTCGGAGATAAATGAGTTTAAAAATTATCTAGATTTTCTGATTAAAAAGAATAGTTAAAATATATTTGATATTACGTACTTTATTTATGTTAAATATACGTACCTACCTATTTTATACATGAACTTTCAGTGTATTTTAATTAACATTTGTTTAAACCTTAATTTTCACTTTTACTTAGTAAATAAATAAATAAATATTAGACAACATCACATACGTTGCTTTGATCCCAAAGTAAGTGGCTAAAGCACTTGTGCTATGGAAATCGGAAACAACGATAGTACCAAAAACACCCAGACCCGAGACAATATAGAAAAGTTACTTTTTTCTACACTGACGCGGCCGGGGATCGGACCCGGGACCTCAGAGATGGCGATACCATGAAAACCGGTGTGCAAGCCACCACCACAGAGGCCGTCAAAAAAGTAAAAGTAGAAAAAACTAAAAAAATATTTATTACTGCATATAAAGGCATGTTAACTAGGTAACTTAATGTAACTTTTACCCAACATTTTACTTAAAAACAAAACTAAAGGGCACAATACAGTCAGTTGTGCCTTTTTTGTGTTATTTAGGCTCAATTTATGTTGCGGCGGAACTGAATAGAAGCGAAATATTGTAACGATATTGTACATAGCAAACCTAATTAACTTTATGTTCAATTATGCAACATACTAACTAGACACAAGCCAAAATCTTCCACGGAATGCGCGATAATTCTCGAGCATGCGCGAGAATTCCGCAAAAGATTTTGGCTCGTATTTAGTTTGTACTTTACACTATTGACCATAAAGTTCATTATGCTATGTACAATATTGTAACAAAAATTCGCTTCCATTCCGTTCCGCCGCAAAATAAATCGAGCCTTATGAAGTAATAATAAGGATACAATCCCGTACATTACTTCCCAAGTCAAATACTTCGATGTAAGTTTCTTTTAACTTACTGTGTATCCAACAATTATAGAAATAGATTTCTACAAAAATAGAAACCTTTTTTCCTGATCCCGAGTACGTATACAACTCAATTTTGATAAAAATGTTACTTGTGCCTTTTTCGTTCGGAGAGCTGTGTATTTCTAATGAGCATTGGAGCATGTAAACGGGTACTGTTCATCAATCAATCATCTTTCATCAATCCTTGTAATGATCAAATTTGCTTTAAAGCTGTATTATGTAAAAAAACATAAAACAACCAAATGTGTAATTAGCAGATCACCCTATCGACGATTTATTTGTATCGATAAAGATTATTATTGTTCTTTGTGATACCGTAGCACAATCTGATAGATTCTTATCGATTGTTGTATCACGTAGACGTAATAGAGTTTAGTCAACGAGTTTATTTAGGGTCCGCTTGCATGCCCGGTGAAATAACTGATGAATTAAATGAAAATAAATATAATAAAAATAACAAGGTTAATAATCGTAACTCCTAAACCACGCATTGAAACCCTTTTGGAAAAACCCGTGGGATGTACATTACGTTGACGATTAATGAAAATAATTAAATATGTTTAATAAAACAATATACACACACCGGCAAATTTAGTGGAGCACTAGTCAAAACCCCCACCATACTGCAGTATTTACCTTACTTTTTTATTTTAGGTCTAATCTGAGAATTAAGTATAATCGACTGTCATTTTTTCATTCGTTTTAATTTCAAACTAATACAGGTTTGTCGAGTGGTTCGAGGTTGGTTGGCGATTCTACGTTCTTGCTAACTACGTAAATATGAATTAAAAAGTTTTAATTTTTAAGTTTATTGAATGCCACGACTTTTGACCACAATGATATTCAATTATTTTTGTGAAATTATTACACTATTTGTATTAATAATGATCTTTGTATTAATAATTATGTTATAATTATCACTAACAAAAAAATCCTTCGACCCGGCTGGATTTGAATCGTCTTCCAGCAAACCACGGCAGATACTATGCCAACTAAGCTACGGAACGAACTAGCGGAACTTAAGAAATTTTCAATGTGCTCGTTGTAGATCTTTGTTTTTGGTTTTTAACGACTTGATGTAGCGCCATCTGTGAGAAATCTATTTCTTCACTCAGCCTTTAAAGCTACCACCAGCTGACCAGAGATGTCGCTTCAAGTTTTTTTGATAAAGTATGATTTAATCATTTTCAGTGAAAAAAGAATGCATCTTGTTTCATTTAGATTTTTCAATCAGGTTTCCATGAGCATGTTAAAAGACTAAGTCGACTTTATGTCTCATTCATATTAGACATAAACGTTACTATTTTGTTTTCTCATTTTGTTTTCGTTCACCTAAATTTTCCGGTGAGTTCTTTTAACCTTTTTTTTATAAAAAAAAAGTAAGTGCGCATGACTTCCATCTCACCATGAGGTATGTTTTATGTGTGTATTAACAATTTGGTCTCACCTGTTCTCTGGCCGTTTGCCCATGCTGGTTATTGTGGCTTGCTCGTCTACCTCCTCGATCACTTCATTAGCAATCTTCATGCTCCCAGCTACGGCTGTTGCGGGTTTATTCAGTGACGCATTGCTAGCAGATATTGTAAATCTTGATCCTGAAACTATACACTTGTATATTACGAGACAATTTTTATTGAAAATGTTAATATTCTAGATTTCACTTTCGCACCGTCTACGTATACTACGTTGAATAATGAATACTATTATAGAAAAGTAGGTACCAACAGATGTATAAATGATAATGTTGATACTAAATAGATTCATTTCAATAAGAACTGTACTTTCGTCTGATCGTGAATTGAATGGAAATTGCAATCACAATGTAGCGTAACAGACTTTGTATTGAATCCCGATTAATGATGTACGTTTCACGTATTAAACGTAAGATCATTAAAATGCGATTACCACTGCCATCAGTTTGCGTAGGTGTTTGTGTCGGGTTTCGCTGGTCTTCCTTTGAGAACAGTCTCTTTAGCATAGAAGTGACGGAGTTTGCTCTCGTTATGGGAGTCTGCTGCTGTAGTGACGCCATGGAATTTGTGGAACCCATGGAGTTTCTATCCACTTGATCCCGTTTCCCGCGTTTACTGCTACCTCGCGAAACCATGAAGTGAATGCCCGATTGAGCATCATCGTTCATTTGCAGTTGCTGTAACATTATATAGATGATTGATTATAGCTTTTATATTCATAAGTAGGTAGTAGGGATATCGTCGTATTTACGACGTAACATTAGAAGGTAGATGTCATGATAGTTAATTAGTTACGGCAACAGTGCTTTTACACTAACTGTTGAAAAACAATCAAGTTAACTTTTTGTACGATACACAAAATTAATATGTGGGTAAATAAAGTCTTGGACAAAACAATGTTTAGTTATTTCAAGTGTCGGACTTCTCAAGGACGAAACACTCAGCAGTTATTTACAGCGAGGTTCAAATTAAAATATCCCACTTGAATAGGTTGAACGATCGTAACAAATACATTTATTAGAAATATACGTAACTTAAGAGCCGGTTCACACTTGTACCATTTGCGAAATTGTTTTTCTGGACGGTTTCTAGTGGCGAATGCTAACTTATGGGCGGAATAGCGTATGGAAATTCATACCATACTATAAACCGTATACGCTGAAAAAAACCGAATCGTTTATTTTTGCTTCCGGGTCTTGTAGAAAACACGAATCGGTCGGCCAATCGGATTTACGCACCACGCCGCGAAAAGAGGGTTGTGATATGAAGGTCCAAAGTTATCCAGATTTAAACGCCGTGTTATTGGATACTGCCAAAATCTTCTGATTCTTCCAAGAAACTTTGTATTGCGAGAAACGGCTCTATCGTATCGGAAAACGCCTCACAAAATGTATAAATGTGAACGCACATGCGTTTTTTTAACGTATACGGTAGAAAAACTGAATCGAATAAACCGTACAAAGTGTAAACTAGCCGTATAAGTTGTTAAGAACCTTTTATTGTAAACATGCCTTATCCGCAAATCCATATATTCCAACAAACAACACTTACATTACACACAAATTCTGCGTTAGTAAACAAGACATAGGTATGTTAAAGGAAAAAAATACTTGTACTCCATAGTAAACACATAAAGTTTCTTAAGTTGAAAGTAAGTATACAAATTATTTGATAGACATCGTGAAGGTGTAGTTAACATTTTTTAATAAATTAGTGTGTATGTGGAAAAAACAGAACATAACTTTGTTATTGTTTGTATGTTATGACTAACGTTAATTTAAAAAATATACCACCCAACCTTTGCTTGCTGCTCCACATTGTTAACATCTAAACTCACACGCCAATTACTAATTTAATCTGAGTAGAGCAGCTAAAAATGGATGCTTTATTATGAATACGAGTATTCATTCATTTATGAATAAGTAGGAACTGCAAGCAGGTCTAGTTGTGAAGAAATCTAGATTAAATTTTTATCTTACTAGTATTATAACTGGCTCTACCGGTTTGCGTTAGTTATTTTCACCATTGTCTACCGTTAGAAACTGTATTAAACATTGCTAAAGGCTGCCAAAAACTATAGTCTTTAATGATATTCCTAAATCAAATCACTGAAAAAAAAACGCCCAAACTAATGTATCCTTCTTATCTTAGATTTTAGAATAAACGTAATCTTTATATTATTAATCGCCATCATTGCTAAATTCGGTGACTAGCGAAGTTATTTACACGTTCATACCAAAAATGTTTAATTTTTAGCTTATACCTTAACGGACAATTATGTATTTCAGTTTCTGGTTTTACATCAAAAGTCTTTACATTAAAATACACCATTTGATGTCACTAAAACTTTGTTTTATTAGCATCAGACAAAAGGACATTTTAGGCCTTTTATTAGGCGCCATTTCATTCAATCATTTTATAAGCAAATTATACCGAATAATACATTTTTTTTATTTATTTAATTATTTCTTTTTTTAATCTTGTCATTCCATATATATTAAATTCAAAATGTCTACATAATTGAACTAATTCAAAGACTTGCACTATAAAAAACTTAAAGAAGCAAGAGGTTCCAAACACTAGAAGCATCTTCATAAAAATTATTAACATATCGTGTCGTTTGTAAATGTTCATGTATCATCAATTCTCACGATGTTTTTTTTACTGTAATTTGTCGCCTAAACAAAAAGTTTACTGCTAATGTGTTAACGTTTTTCTAATTCTAACAAAACGACGTATGTATGTTATTGTTTAATTACATCGGCGCTGTAAAGCGGCAAATGTTTCTCTACGATTTTGAGAGTTAAAAGGTTTTTTCTAGTACTCTACTAACAGTCCTAACCACAATCGACATTAAGTAAATAACGCAACGTATTTTCAGTTTACCACTTTACATTGAGTTATGGCTGTCGTATCAAATTCGTTCCATCAGTGTTCTCTATATTCAGATATAAAACACGTGGAGAGATGCGATTTGCGGCGAATGTTTGAAAGCCGAGTATTAATAGCAGAGCTGAGAAGTAAAATCGTTTACATTTTTCATAACCTATACCACGGAAAACAGGGTGACTTTTACGGTGTAGGTACAATCAGGCATGACTTTTGTTTAATTATAACGAAAGGTACTGTAAGTTGACTATTTGGAATTTTGAGAACTAGGTCTTTTCTAGTAGACTTTAAATGGCAATGTAGCTAAATGTTATGGTACAGGGTCAAGAGCACGTCAATCTTTAAACTTAAGACTTAAATCCAACTCTATGCCGCTTATGATTAGAACGGTCCAAAGTACAAAGTATCAAGCTTGATGTGATGTTGACTGTGCATATAAACTCGAGAAATTATATTACAAGGAATATACTACGGTCAGAATAGCTTCTTTTACATAAAAGGGTAATTTTCAGTTTAGTTGTCTCCACCTAATTTCAGTGGTTATTTTTATTATTTAAATATTATAGAGTATTATTATCACTGTGTTATTAAGTATTATTTAATATTTGAGTGTAGTATCCTGAAATATTATTTAATATTCCACGAAAATGTACTCGAATACTTAAATAACAATTGCCACCGAAATTAGTAAGAGAAAAGTAACCTGAAAAATACCCACAAATATATTTACTACGATTTCACCGTTTATGTTAATAGAGTTATTTATTGACTATAAAAAATATTTAATTATTGAGATTTTTTTGTGAAATAACTTAACTAATTCTGTTATGACAAATTTTTCCGTGTGTTCTACCTTTGTATTCATAATCATATGAATATGTTTTTAACAATGTTTTAGTATTAATACGCCAAATAATCACGTGATGACAATTTAAAATATTACTATTATGTGTAACCTAAAATCTAAGATAGATTTCGTTTTTTTTGGTTTACTTTCCAAAACAATTAATCTAGAACTAAATGTCATTAGAAGCAAAAATTTATTATGTAATCTCCGGTTATCATGGTCACATAATGTGGCTAAGGCTAATTCATCGCAAGCAACGCGCTGTTTTGAAACTACATCCTAAAATGCAAATGTGACAAAAAAATTATCGCACCATATGTGGTGTATATTATGAAATAGTATAATTTTGTCGTATTCCCATAATGCAACTTAGCTCATGTTAGGGCCCGGTATCGCTGTTGAGCATAAAAGTTAGCACATGTTAGGTTACAGAAGTATAATTATTTATTTTCGTAAGAAATTAAAATGCGCGATTAATTTCCGTGACCTTGGTTGGGAAATACTGAATTATACAAACATTGAATAAGACGTCAATGGCGTCCGTTTTTCATACGCGAAATGTAAACACTTCAACCTTCTGTGAAAAGTAGAACAGAACGACGTAAGGTACAGGAAAATGAACATAATATTGGCAACCCTTGACACCAACACACTGCTAAGCTCCACGTAATATCCGAGCGTGCAGCATGCTTAATAAGAGGACGGATCTAACCTCTGGTGGGGCGAACTTGTAACTCACGGTGTTGGATGGCATCATTTCGTCAATCTTCACACTGGAGGGGTTCACGGTGACCATGCTGCGTTGCCTAGGAGGCACAGCCACGCGAGCAGTAGAAGGTTCTGGATGCTCCTCCCTCTGATTTTCCGTAGCTATCGTGTACGGCAACTCCGTCGGGAACACTTCATCCCAATACTGATCCTTGAGAAGCTCCGGATGCTCGTGATGCATCTCGTCCACTATCATATAGGATACCTGCACCAAATTTATTTCAATTATTGAATTTTGTAGGCTTTTGCGATTGTTACACATAGAAAATAAAATTACATAAAAAACGGATTAAACGCGCGTTGACAGTCAGTCGTCACCATGGGACCTGGACCCGAAACTTAGGTTTGTTTATATATTAAGTTTCATTTCTTTTTATAATTAACTATTTACATGAGAATTAACTATTTAAATTACCCGCAGCTAGGTGACATCGAACTTTATATTGCATCTATTAATTACGGTCACGTGTTATTTTACAAATGATTGCATTCACATATGTATGTCTTCGTACTACTAGCACTGAATAGTAGACAAATTTGTTCTAGAGATAAATCTATTACCTACCTGTAAGTCGCGATCAATCAGCCAGTTGACTTCGAAATCATCGTCATCTTCGCCAAAAGGGTTTATTAGAGACTCTGCCACTTTTAGCCAACCCATGTAGAAAAAAAATTCTAACGTAGTAAATATCGGAAAGTATTGGTCTATACTACTTATATTCGAGCCAGCATCCTTGTGTGTCGTTTTATTTTCAACCCATTGACTACCCAATGCCGTCGTCATAAAGTACGAGTAAACAGCTATAGTAACTACCTAAAATGAGAGCAAAGAAAGCCGATTAAATACAATATTTACAAAACACGAAGTAAACAACGACTTAACGAAACGGAAAATGCGACTAGAGAAGCAAAATTGTTGGTGAACATAGGTCAGTGAAAACAACATCATAAACATTATATCTGCAATCTTATGGCAGCTTATTGTGAAACTTCATCAACGTGCTTCAAAGATTTCAAAACTTGTCATACAGTAACCGATTTCATCCAAAATATTTATATAATACAATACACTAAATACAATAAAAACACACCTGAGTATAAACAAGAGGCACACTGATTGTGTCATAACTGAGCAGCAGTCCCGCTTGCCCTCTAAATTTGTTTAATTCGTCTATAATTGTTTTCACAGCGAAGTCGTCCCTTATCCTACCCTCTTTGCGGGCCCTCGTCACTATACTAGCCGCCCAAACAATTGGTAACCTAAGAATGAATAGAAAAGTTATTATGCTAAATTCAAAATAAAAATGTAAAATGTAGATGTTGAAATAAAATACAAACCAGTGTTTAGAAGGCTTTGGAAACTTATCATTAAGATTTATGAGAATCTGTTTCTCATTCTCAAGCATTAAACCAGACTCTACAAAATTATCAAGCGTAGGAAAGCGTTTTTTGACGCGAGGCGAGATCATAGTAAGTACCATAGTTAGGCAAAGGCACACATATCGGACTATTGTTCTTCTCAGCAGCCGACCCCGTTCGTCCTGCAAAAGTGGTGATCTAATGTTGTAAAAATGACTCATATAATGAATATTCGATTAGATATCGCAATTACACTTCTTTAAATTCCTAGTCACGTTGAACCGGACGCTAGGTGATAAAATTGTTAAGTTTTCTTTGTCCTTTCAGTAATCCTTCAATAAAATACAGTTATAAAATAATCAAACGTAATGGAATAATTATTTTGCTTTACGTGTGTCGCGAAGGCCCCATGTTAGTTTTGAGTCTTATTAAAAAACCGGTCAGACATTCCTAAAACGAGGTCACATTGTCATATTAATGTAATAGATCAATGATTCAATGAAATTAGTCCTTTAGTACAGGCTTCGTCATAAAATACAATTAAAATCAATTATATTAAAATCTAACTATCATGAGAAGAGATCAGAAGAGGCAAAATATGTTTACCTACATTTCAAAGACACGAGCAGATAATACCTCCCACTGAGATATATATATTATGAATATAGCTGATTCACATCAAGATTTAACTCTTGCGTTTTACCATAGTAAAACGCAAATTCCTAAATTTGTTACTATTTGTAATAACAGTGATCGGAATAGGTAGCTTATTTACCTAAACTTGGATAAACAGAAAGTAGACACTGCCTTACGACTTCATTTGTTTATCCCGAAATTTTTGAAGATTCGGGAAATCTCTTAGGTACATTAAAATTTTTCGTTATCTGAGATAGGTATACCTACCTATAGTATTGAGTATATTTATCAAAATTTAGAATTTTGTTTTTTCATAATTTTCCTTAATATTCCGAAATATTGGTAGTTAGATAAATATAGTCTACCCACTACCTATCCCAAATAACGTAAATGTTTAATAAACTTTTAAGTGATTTCCCGAATCCTGAAAAAATCCGGGACAAAATAATGTAGTCGCCACTATCTTTGTCTTTGCTCCTCGAAATTTAGGTAAATAAACTCTACCTATTCGGATCACTGGTAATAACTGATTATTTGTATATAATATTTATAATAAATGTGTCACGAGCAATCATCGAGTATATACTCGATGTGCGCAATATAAGACTTCCTCGTTTGTACGTACAATTGGATAGGTAATCGGATGATAGTGATAAGATTTTTAAATGTCATATGTTATACCTTCAATTTATCTATTAAATATCAAGATTTTCCTTAGTATATCTGACAAGAAAATCAGAAATCGCGTTATACTAATCTCACAAAGTACTTCCGCTAGAACATAAATAACAAAGGCCTGTAATCATAGCGAATTACATGTTCGACGTTATATTTTTTTCTACTTAATCGTAATAACTCATACGTATGCATTCTTACCTGGCCATGTATAGTGGCGGACACGAAAACAGCTATGGAATCTGGCCAGGGTATAGTAGTGTACTGATTCCACCACCGATTCATAACAACAGTCACGTAAAAACCCAAAACGAAAGACAATGGTATCACATTACCGTGGTAACTGCAGTAATTTACAACTCCTTCAAAAGTCCTGTGAAATATATGAATTTTTCAATTTCGATTTTTTTTACCTCATAGTAGTAGAATGACATTGTCAAAGCATCCACCGCTGTCAAATTGACATTTATTAAGTGAATGTGCTCCAAAGCGACACTGCAAGTGCGATTCCATGGATTGCCTGTGCCAAACCCAGTAGCTATTCAGTGAGGTGTGACGCAAGGCGAACACCATTTCCTCCCAAATTATTTACGGCTGTCTTTGAGGACGTCATAAAATGCTATACTGGTAAAAATGGAATAAATATCAATAGTCTCAACTTTTTTTAAAATATGATTTGAAAATATCGACTACAAATTGTACACAACCTGAGGTGCTCCATCAACTAATCGAAGAATCAGCTATAAGCGAACAATGCAGCAATTTTACAAAGTACCTAGTAATATCCATCTGCATACATAACGTCACATACGTTTCGAAAGACTTTATTTAGACAGAAACATACATTTAAATATGGCGACCATTGACTTATGATGGCGACCGATCATGTCGATTGAATTTTAGTGTTAACAATGGCTAATTGTGCAGTTGTCAAAAACGATTTAAATGACACATGCTAAAAATATAATGTATGTTGTAGTCGAAATATTTGCTATGCTATTTTTTGTGTTATTTCTGTTTTTATTTATATTATTTTTTGTGTTTTTTTTATAATGTGCCGTTGTAATATCTATTTCTGTTATTTCTATTTAAAAACAAAGTACGTTGTGTATTTAACAAAGTCGGAGAGCTGGTAAAGAAACCAATATTTCTTACCTTTTAGATTCATCTGTGGGGAGGAATCGGTAAGTTAAGGCCAAAGAATAATATATCAATAAGAAAATCAGGAGATCCAGCCACACCAACTTGTAAATACTTCCACGCCATCTGGAACACAACACAATTGCCATGTCAGACACGAAAAAAATTTAGTAGTTCAGGGAGTAGTTCAGTGGCTTTATGATTGTTAAAGCATCGCCAGGTAATAAGTCTGAAATTGTAAGTATTTTGTATTTAGACTTACTTAATTGTAGAGATAATAAAAAGTAAATAAAACCTCTACAACCGTAGTGATAGTAGCGTGTTTTATCTGCAGTAAAATATTTATTGTCCATACAAATCGGAGTGCGTAACCCAATTTCATCATCCCGTTGGAGTAAAACTGATGTCATTCACTGAATCAATAATCAGTTACTTATACTTTATGTTTGTTATAAATGTTTTAACACTTTATTATTACAATTGGATAACAGCTATTTATTACTCGCATATAATTGGATGTATATCTACTTAAAATCTTCCATAAGTGGTTGGTGTTGAAATAATTCACAAAAATAAGTCTGTGTTAATATTGTCACTACCAAAAAACCGAATAATTGCAAGGAGATGTCTTGATTACTCCTATACATATGAAACGCTCGTTACAACCCAGACTTGCTCTATAATTTAAAATTACGTTCAAATGGTACTACGTAACAAGTATTTTATTTGTATGTACCAACTATGTGTAAATGTGTAGTAAATAACAAGTACACCATGATATGTTTGCCTGCTTTGAAAAGAGGAAAATGTCACATTTATTTATAAAGTTACAAGTATCTATGTGTTATTTTAGTAACCCAACATATAGAAGGGTGGTAAATGCAGAAAATGAAAACTAGGGTTGGCCTCCGGGTAGTTTGAAGTATAAATACCATCGATGCACTGAAAAAGCTCTGGTTAATTATTCAGTTATGTTCAATTTGGTATCATAATTTTCGTGTATATGCACGTTGATGCCAGATAGACGCTGACCTTGTGTTAACTGAGATAGAAGATATATTATCACAGACAGCAATCGTGTAACACGCGACGCGAGCTAACAAAGTACCTACATTCATTGTATCTAGCTGATGAGCGAATGACTACGAAATCTAGAAATGAAGAATTAAAGTGAACCGCGCTCATAAAGAAAAACTAGTTTAAGAATAGACACGAGTTAGTAATAAATGTTTTAACCTATCCTATTTGACTACATATAACAGGTAAACTTACACGAATTTATGAAATGTATTTACAAGTCATAATTTTTAGTTACCGTAAGTAATCTCTATCTTTTATATTTTTCTAGCCGGTATAATGAGTTTTCGGCAGGATATGACGTCATGCTAGACGTGTTTCCCGCACTAAAAAGTGTGGGCGAGTCCAGCAAGACAGACATGCTCATTAGATTTCAAAATATTGAAATTCAAATAGAAACAGCAAAATAATGCCAAAGCCTTCCAAAGGCGAAATAGATTTATGCAATAAATGCTTAGACTATTTTTTTCCATCCTCTAAGAATAAATGCCTAAGTTCAGAGCGCCTGCTTCGAAATAGTGTAAATTAGAAACGAATTACCTTGTAAACGTAATGATTGTTAAATCATGTTTAGACTGTCTGGCCGTTTAGAAAAGGATATACCTACAATTTATCCAAATTGTTTGTTTAAGCGTAACTGTATGAATTACGTGTGTGAGTCATGAATTTGTAGGCGAAACCAATCCCACTGGTCAATTAGCGCGCAACTAACTACCGTAGAGACTGCATTCATACTCATTATCTTTGCACATTCTATGAAATTTAACTAACTAGTGTCCAACGACAAATTAAAGTGAATTAGATATAAAAACGCACTACTTGAAAGTAAAACAATAACAATGTGCACATTATACATATAATAAAGTGTTATGAATTTATTATTACATAATTTACAACCTAGTTAGAGCTAAAGACTTCTCAGGAATATTTAAGAATAAGGACATTCTACTATAACATGTTTTACAAACCACACTCGTACTATTTTCTGAATTGAACATTTATAGGAAATGAAACTATTTTTCCGGATTTAAATCGCGTATATTTGTTTTTTCAAACAAACTGACGACGTTTCGGTAATTCGGTAGTCAACCGTGACTATGGGACCTGTAAAGGGCCCGAAACGTCGGTTTGTTTGAAAAAACAAATATACGCGATTTAAATCCGGAAAAATAGTTTCATTTCCTATGTGTAACAATCGCGAAAACCTAAGAACTCGATATGAACATTTATATATAATTACATGTATACGTACACTATGTATAAGTACATGCTCAAAATAAAATATATCATTACTTTTGGGTGCATGCAACCTACCTAAGAACTTAAAAAAAGTGTAAATCCAATATTCGTGGAAATTGTGATCGATACCCATGAAAAGTGCATTGAACTCTATAATTTACGTGGCGTAGTGTGGTGGAAAGTGCACAGGCATTGAATAATGAATGTCCCTTGCCTGGTAACTAGCATTATAGGAGAAGTGGACACGTCGACAGCCAAAGCCACCCGGAAATCAACTACCCTTAAAGGAATACGATGAAAAGCAATTGTGGACAGACTAGTTATGAGAAATAAAGATAAAACTTTTATTTGTGGCCTCAACACCAGTATTCATGTATTGCTTACGTAATTGTACATGTATATGTTTACCCCGTAAACGTTTTAAAATTATTGTTTTATTGGCTATATAGATAGTATGGAAACTACAACGCCGACGCGAAAAATGAATCATAAACAATTATCTTTCTGTCATGTGCACGACTTGTTCATCCCGTCACTTGATATTATAAAAAAAATGTATTCGGTACTTGCAACGTTGGTTCTAAGATTTGATATTATAAATGAAATCTACAAAGAAACAAAAGAAATTACGACGAGTCATAAAAAGTAAAAGCGAATTATTCACTTTGTTGGCTAATGTGATCCACTTATGTAAGGGAAAAGACTAAGCAAATGGAATTTAACACCACCTGTGTTCTTTACGATGAGTATACTGCAATCCGTCATGATTGTGATGCTCTTCTTGCGTACGGTATAAGATAAAATTCATAATACTTAAGTAAACATTCGGCATTTTATTATATGAAAATTGTCGTTTATCCATATTATCACACTCACTTGTTAAGTAGTTTGAATCTTAAAAAATATCTTCATCTATTTTTACTTAGATACTGTATTTAACTGAGGCTAGGCAGGTAAAAGCATTTACAATGTCCTCGGGATCATTAATTTAATTTATGCTATGCGTTGCTTTCAAACAACAGTACACACCTACATAGTTTTCCGGGTCTAGACAGCAAGGAGTTAACGAGACTGGTATTGATTCGTTGGAGCGACGACCTCAGTGAAATAAAAACTGCAAACTCACGCAAACCAGAATTTACTAATCGTTTTTTTAACAAAGTTGGAACCAAAATAACCTTTGTGTTTGTTGATATTTCCAGATACATTCATGATTAATTTGGTCCATTTTTGCTTAAGATGGCAAAGTCGCAATATACAAAGGAGATATTTATTACATTTGACATTTAATTTAATTCTGTCATTGTTTCTCTATGCAATTGAAATGGGGCTTCGCACACTTAGTAAAATGTTTCTATATGTCGATTCTTAAAGTCTTGTAGTCATTTAACATTGGTGTGGCATACCTTGTAAGTTGGTTTTCAAACCTATGCAAGATTAAGTCGTAAGTCATAGGAGTCATGTGACTCGTAGGTACTCCAAGACAAGATGGCCATGTAAACAAAGTTCGTCAGAAATGAGCAAACATTGCGGCAGTTTCCATTCATGGAATCAAACAAGCGCTCCTAGTTATAGCGGAGGACTTCTCAGGGGTATCCAAGTATGAGGTCATTCTGCTTTATTTGTTATATAACATACACTCCTACAATATCTGAATTGAACAAAAATTTTGAATATTGACATTTTTTATATTGATGTTGACATCCAAGCTAATATTATAAATGCGAAAGTAACTGTTCCGTTACGTTTTCACGCCTAAACCGCTGAACTAAATTTGACGAATTTTGGTATAGAGATAGATGGGGCCCAAAAGAAAGAGGACATGGCTACTTTTTGTCACAAAAATAAATCTTAAAGGAGGTGAAATAAGGGATGAAAGTTTGTATGGAGAATCAATAAAAGTATGAAAATAAAAATAGTATAGTACAGTAGGTTAGTTAAAGTACTTACTCTACCCAGACAAAGTCGCGGGCACCAGTTAGTAGTTTATACGTTTGACGACCTCGGTGCCCTAAAGGTTTCAGGAAGCCCTGACTTCGATTGCCGGTACAAATAAATTGGGAAATTAATTTATCTAATTTGGTTCTGGACTGGGTGCTCCGAGTATTATTGCTCAGGAGTGAATTCTGTTGCACTGGTATTCATAGTACAGGGAATTTCTTGGTTTGAGCCAAGCTAATAGTTATGGTTATTCGGCACATCCTGAACTATGAATACCAGAATAACGATGTCTCTGAGGGCAATACCCAGAATACCAAGACCAGAACCAACTTCGAAATGTTCGTTTTTTAAATTGGCCCAAATCGGGAGTCGAACCTGGAACCTCCTCACCAAGCGCCTATAGCATTAACCGCTTTGCCACCGAAGAGCATAAGCACACCCCATAATCTAAGCCTACTAGAGTATAGGGCTCGATATTACTGTTGTTGATACTCGGCTTCCAGAGAATTAATGCCCATATTGCGATACGTCTCGATGTTACAATGATCAGTAATAATAATAATAATAATAATCATTTATTCTCTCCCATTCATATACAAATTAAAAACATTCTTGGTAAGCAGATAGCGGGAGACTGGTGCCCAAACTAGGTAGACCCTGTGTCTTGGGACACCAGGCCTCCGACCCAGAACAGTACAATGTATTTTCTTTTTATATAAATTATATAGTTACGGAAAAAGAATAAAATAAAAAATAAAAATAAAATAAAATGGAGCTGGACTTAATAACAATATTTTGAAATACAGACTAGAATTTATGAAATAGATGTGTGTGTCTGTGTCTGTGTTTGTGTGTATGTGTGGGTGAAG